GTCGAAAGGAAGGAGTTCTGGTGGTGTTTTTCTTTCGTTGTAATATTAAATAATATAAATAAATAATAGCTTACTTAATAAAAATATTTAATAGTTTTGTATTTTTTATTAATAAGTTTTTTTAACTTTAATTCTTGATTTATTATTTGAATTTTCTAATAATAATGAATAATTATCAATATGATGAGAACTTTTCTAATTAAATACATATTTTTATCTCTATCAAGTAATCTAAGCTTTCTTTATTATTAATATTTTGTATTAATAAGTAATTTTTTCACTTTTAAAAATTTTTTTAAGTACTCTAATTAATTTAAAATCAAAGTTTAACTATTTTTTTTGAATAATTATAATTATAATTAGACAAATACTCAAGTTTAAAAAAGTAAGTAAGAGTGAGCAAGTAAACAAGCTTGAGCAAGAAAATAAGAGTAAACAAGTTAATAATAATCAAGTAAGCAATCTTATGAATAATCAAATAAGCAATCAAAAAGATAATTAAATAAAAAAGAATAAGTGAGCTTTAATTATCAATAAGATAAAATAAGAATTTAATAAGTCTTATTTTATTTGAATATTCTTAATATTTAAATTATTCTTGAGTTACATTATAAATAAAAAAAACAAAACACAAGTTTATTCTTAATATTTAAATTATTCTTACATTGTAAATAAATAATAAAAATATACAAATGCATGACATTCTCATTTCTAACCTTAAAGATATCAGGAACAGACTCCAGGAACTCCGGAAAGACAAATTGTGATCTGAAGTCACATGATCTGTCATTTTTTTCTGTTTCACTTTGTTACAGGTATTACGCAATATAAATTTTAAACTGAAGCAAACTTCTAAAAAAACTGAATTTACAAAACTGCAATTCGTGTAATTATATTTCTTTATTTTTTGGTATCTTGTAGTTTCCGAGTACAGCATCAGTTTATTAGTTCTTTGCCTGCTTTTCGATTTCAAAGATATCATTTTTTAAAAATAATTGTAGGGCACCACTTTATCATGAAAAAAGGATACGCCTACTATTAGAACGTCTGCACAGAATGCAATCAATTTCTAGCAAATTCCTTTTATTGTTATATATGAATAATAGAATTTTGCAATTGCTTAGAGAATGTAACAAGAACGATAATGTTGTTCAGTCCTTTCGAAGAAAAAAAATGCCAATATTAATCTTATACAAATGCTAAATTTACGGATTCTCAGTTGATGAGAAATTTCATATAAATGCTAATTAGCATAGTTAGATCACGATTTTGGAAAATACATACCGATACCGATACATGTAATTAGTCGCGACAAAAAATTATTTTCAGTGAAAAAGTTCGCGGCAATGCAACAAAAAAACTGGCCTGAGATAGTATTATCATTACATAAAACAAGATACAAAATTCTCTTATTAAATTCTAAATGTTTGATATATTTCTGCTTGTGCATTTGGGCCTGTTTAGCATTTAATTTTTGTGCAGTAAATGCATCAAGAACACTTAATTCACCGCCTGTTGAAACATGGTTGAAAACTTCTTGGGATGCACCCAATTTGTTGCTTGAAATAGTGTAAGTCATATGGTTGAGCTAAAAATTCTTTTGCATACATCTCAGTTGATATGTTTAAATATCGACATCCAATTTTTATTTTATCATTTATACTTAAACCAGAGAGTCAGTCGCGGCCGAGAACTCTTCGGCATATTATCCCTATATAACCAAACTATTGGCTCGAAAATCGGAATTTGATCCATCATCTCTGTCAACTTCTAATTCTTCATTATCATCAAAGGACATATATTCAAAAGCAATAAAAATCCTCAAAGATTCGCGACTTCTGTCATTTCCCTCTTCTTCGTCTTCATCTTCGGAAGAAGAGAGAAAGATCACAACATCGTTATTAGAGTTCTCTCTTTCTCTGCACTCTACCGCGCCGACTATACAAGCTTTCTATCAGTATTTTATTACGTCTGTACTGGATAGATTTGATCATAAGAATGATAGTAGTACCATGCATTACGATGACAGGTGTGAGGTTTGGGTTGATTGGTATGGACAACAGATTTGTACCATAGAAGAATTTAGACAGGTTGCAGGATTTAACAAAGTAACTGATACGAAATATCAATTGAATTTTCTTAACGATGATGGGTAAAGTATATTTATTTCAAAAAATTAATCCACATAAGTAAGCTATTATTTATTTATATTATTTAATATTACAACGAAAGAAAAACACCACCAGAACTCCTTCCTTTCGAC